AGCTTGTGAAGAAGAGATGAAAGGAACTGAGAACAGAGGGCTGAGGCTTGAGAGAGGACGGCGTTTACTGCGAGCTCGCTTTCGGATGACAGGCTGATCAAAGGCATTCTCGCCTGATGAAGAACTACTGCTTTCAAAAACAGAGACTGGACTGTAGATTTGGAATTGGAGGAAATCCTTGCTGTGGGACGAGACTTTTGGATTGGGAATGCTTTTGACATACGTCACTTTACTAGTCTCTGACGCTCCTCCTATTGGCGAAATCTCAGAATGCTGCAATGCCAAATAATTAAATACGCAAGAAAACAAAAGAAAAATGATCAAATGCAACATAAATAAGAAAGTAATTTATCTGGAAATCAATGGATGTAACCCAGGAAAAAAAAAAAAATAGTGATGAGCCAAAGAGGAACCTAGTATAAATTCTTCCAACATTTGCACGTATATCCCCAGAGCTAATCACAAGAGAGGAAAGCTAGCGTTCTAAAAGCAGACATGCTAAAGCTAGTTCTTTCTCATTCCTTTTTTCCCCCCGCCTAAGAACATTGACCAACAAATACTATATGCCAGGACAAGTAGCTTCAGCAGCCAGGATAGCAGTAGTTAGACATCACCATCGTGTTTCTACATCCTATTCTTGTTCAAAACCTATAAATTCCAACTCTAGGTACATGAAGGATCAGTGCTGGAGGCAGGGGGTCACAACTTCTCCGGGACATTCTGAGGCAGTTTAAGATGAAAGCAAGCAACCGTTTACTTGCGTAAAGGTACCCCTTGAAAACGCAGTTAGAAACAGCTAGCTTGCAACAAAAGGTTTCCTGATTATCCTCCCTGTAAGTAATACAGGAAAACTGAATCCCTAATACTTGAATCTCCCCAATGTTTCCTTCCTAAATTACACCAACATCACTCTGTGAATCTATTTTCTTGTGCAGGCAGGATTTTGATGAATAGTTACCCTGACTGCTACCAAGAGGTCACTTCAGCAAAGGGTTGAGTTATAGGATGTTATGTCAGTAAAACCACCTATAGGTTACCAATAAGTCTTTCTGACAATCTCTATTCATCTCTGCTTGCGGTAAAGTTCCTACACAAAATCATTCTAATCTTTCTCAGATTCACAATATAGAAATGAAAGTATTCCAATCAAATGTTCTACTATTGATGTGGATATTCAATGACAAGAACTGTCATTACCTGAAACTGAATGAGTCCTTCAAATTGCTACATCACTACATTCATCTCGTTTCAGTTTCAGATAACACAAGTCTGTACGTAATTAAGTCACCAAACACTAGCACACCGCATTCAAATAAACACAGGACTTCATCTGAACATAACTGCAAGGCAAGGAACAATATGCCAGAAAATAACACTAAAAGAAGGGGAGAAAACTCACAGAAGTAGAGAGCCTCTCAAGTTTTGGATTGCCTTTCCGAGTTTTATCATGCAGCTCAGAGGGCAACCCGGAGAGAACATCTAAATATGGCTCGTCAAGGCGTTTGAATTGGGCATCCCAATCTTCTTCCATAGCATTAGGTTCCACATCTTCCAGCGGGAAGTCAAAAAATTTGATGACATCATCAAAAATTTCATCCGGCAAGCCATTAAAACTCTTGTCAAAAAACCAAGAATCCTTCATGTTACTGGTACCCTGTTTCAAAATATTATCATTATACAGAAAAGAAGATCAAAGACAGATGCTGTTACTTTATGCTCATATTTGGTAGAAAAAACTCAAGAAAGAGATAAGAAGAATAACGCATCTTTGTTTAAAAGTCTAATTAGGTGGCACATAACAACAAAGGTAGCAAAGAATCAAGGGAACGCTATCTCACACGGTTGGAATTCTCATGTAATTAGTTAGTGAAAATGAGATTTACGCTTGAAACATGGTTTTACAATATACAGCAATGGAGACTAGGTAAAATTTTATCCACAAGTTCATGCTTCTGGAGTGAGGATTTACCCAAAAAAAGGACTTCCAAGTTCCAACCGTGAGTATCCTACAATCAGTAAGTTATTTAGGTGATAGGAATTACTAGAAACAAACTAGGCTCGTATCATATGCCAATAGCCCAATACCACTCACGGAAAACATCAATTTGACAGGTCATGTCATAAGCAAAGCAACCATCACAATCCTTACCCCCTCTAACAAAGGGCAGCTCATAAAGAAAATTGCCTTTTCAGTACCACATGTCATATCCCCAGCACACCATTTAGTTGCAGAGAAAATGTAGCAGAAGTGATTAAAAACCATATTCAGAAAATTATATTATTTTCAAATGTAATAGGCCGTAGATGCTGGAAGCTGGGGTTCAATATTCATTCTCATCCCATATATGCCCAATTAGAGGTTAACGCAAGCCAATAATGTAAAACCCCCCTTTTCATTTCTTTCCCCATTCCTCCATTTACGACAAATATACAAGAGAAAAATGAACTGCATGCAGCTGAACTCCCAGGGATACAGCGTAACCAAAAGAGCTAGAGAGAATGTGAAAATACAACGAGACTATCATAGAAATTAACTCAAATGCACCTACAGAATAACATGAAAGAAAATACTCTAATTAAAGAGAGAGAGAGAGAGAGAGAGAGATATGGTAGAACTTTGAACAAGACCTCTGAAACGGAATCTTCAGCGAAAGACAGTAGAGAAGCGCATTGCCAGGTGTGCAGAGGAGGTCACGGCAAAGTCAGAAAAGGTTCTTCACAGGAAACAACAGAAAACTCATTCCCGCAGGGAAGGATGGGGATAGAGTGAGGATTAAATGTTAAAAAGAAAATTCAGGCAAAAAAAATGTCAAAAAGAAAAGATTTTTTTTTTCTTTGTTTGAATTTGATAAAATTAGGAATGCATTTTGTGCCGCTACGATGCAGAAGCCCTCATCTTGGTCTCTGCGATATCCACCGTTCATTTCCAAGAGACGACGCAGAAAATGTTCCCCTGTTCTTTTTAAGTTTTAAACCCAAGACAAAAGTGAATATGATGTTTTTAAGCGGGATATTTTGGAAACATTCATTATTGAAATTTCATTTATCCATGGCAGTAACTTGGATGCATATGTTGCCCGGAGTTAGAAGGCAATAACTCTAATACTTAATATATAACCTATTCAATTAATTTGAGATTTAAATAAATAATTAACTATAATAAATATGACATAATCCCTCTAAATTATATATATTTAATAATATTATATTATATATTAATTTATAAGTTAAGTAAAATAGTTTTAAAAAACAATAAATATGAGAAACAAAATATATTGAAATTTTATATTTAGTATCAAATATAACCTATAAAAATTTTTCACAAAAATTATATAATAACAGATAATTATTATTTTTCCATAGAGGGCTAATAATAATATAAATTTTTTTGTCCTTATTTTGTGGCCAAAAATAATTTTTTTATAATAACAATAATGATTTTTACTAAATTAAAACTATGTTGTATGTATAGAGTTTAAAAAACAAGCCGCATTTTTATAATTTAGGAATAACATAACCTTTCATAATTTTTACGTTCTATATATGTTGATAAAATATTCGTATGCTTTGAATAATGAATAGTTACCTTTAAATTTTTACGTTACATAAATATTGATGAATTTACATATGTGCATAATACACTATAGTAATAACAACTTGACATGAATTGTATTTTTTTTTTGGGGCCATCGATATGAATCATATATTTGTTACTTATAAATTTTAAAATATAACTCATTAAAAAATGTAATGAAGAAATAAAGATGGCTGTTCAAATGAGAAGGCAATGAGCATAAGATGTGGATCTATGCACATTATTATTAATTATTGAAGACCAATAGATAGATCTGCAAAAAGGAAAAACAAATAATACTTATTTTGAATGTTTGTGTCATACACATGTATGATTGAGGCGTCACCGGCGGTGCCCACAGGATGAATGAGAATTATTGATTTGGCAATGCCCTGTTTGTTATATAAATATATTTAAAGAATCTCTTACATTGCCACTGGCCGTTTGGCCGAGTGGCGTGGGTGTGTGTTGGATGCGTGTGTTGCGGATTCAATCCTGCCCTGATATAATCCAAAAAAAAAAAAAAATCTCTTCCATTGGTTTTTTGAAAAGAATGTTCAAGAAATACCGAAAAGAAAAGCAATGTAGATTGTAACTTTTGGACCCCAAACGAGAAAAGCAAGGTAGAAAGGCCGCACAGTTTTAAAAATCATTTTGTGATGAATATAAGTTCAAAGAAAAAGCCCAATCTAAAAAATTAGCTTCTTAAAAAGAAAAACCCTTTTAAGTTTATAAATCACACCACACTTGTGAGGTTTCATAATGTATTCCTTTCCTTTTCAACATCATCTTCACCAGGAAGGCCATTTCTTTCTTTCCATCTTCCGTTGAAATCCCATTACAAGTTAAGGAAAAAAAAAAAAAAAAAGGAGAGTCAGAGCCAGCTTACCAAACAGGTATGGTGATTTCTCACTCCCCCGACTCCCCATTCGGGTATACCAAACGCATCCTAACAATTCTCAGGGATTGGAATTTAAGGTGGGGCCACCGTGTTTGGTGATACGCCAAGAGATAAGTGAGGAGTCCATTGTGCGAAAGTTGGGCAGTTGGCCACTTGGGTGACCTCCGCCCATATCAACTCTCAAATCATTCGCTCCCCTTTTTCAATGCATGAACAAATTTCGTTTCTGAGGATAAATCTCTCCCAGAAAAGAATTTAATAACCTTTGACTTCGTCGTTCAATGCACCTCACACTGCTTCTTTCAACTGGTTTTAGTCGGTCTCACGTAAAAGCAGTCTATCCGATCAGAGATTGTGGAGAATTGCCTGTTTTCATTTAAATGAAACCTTTTTTTTAAAAAAAATATATCTTGCCTATTGTTTTTATAATGTCACAGTGAAAAAGTAAACTGCGAATATCACCAAAGACAGATGAAATTTGCATTCAGGCTATGTGGCACTGAATCATTGGAGCCCTCACCAATCTGGCACGTGAAACTTGATATATCTGATCTCTCATACCTCCCGAAGGTACATAACAATGACAAGCCGTATCCCAATGTTTACTTTCTGATGTTTAGTATTGAATAACATTTATATCTTAGCCTTCAACATTCTTCTTCTCATATTTACAATAAGAAAGAACAAGAGGAGGAAGGCGAAAGGGATTACCGAAGGAAGGAGCTTCCAGTTCACCAAGCTTGACATGCTTTCCCATCTTTCCTGCAATATACAACAAAGGAATCAAATAACCGACAGCTCCACCATGTTAAGATCCACTTTAACTAATAGAGTCTCCCAAGAGGAAAATCATTCTAAAGTATTATTTATCAAAGCGAAAAACAGTTCAATTCTTTTCTCCCAACTAGAGGCGACTAGAGACTGATATAGAAATGATGTGATATTTCGGCAGACCATCAAATATAGTTTTGGCATCACATTGCATTGTCCCAATTGAATTTTTGTATAAAAAATGCAAAATTCATCGGTTATTCCAGATCATGCCTTCACGTTGTGAATGTGCATGTCTGCTAATTTTGCTTCAGCAAACTACTCCTACAATTTAAGTAGTCTTGAGGCCTTCCTTATTTTCATCCCCATTAGATATCTTTTAAAGTGCATTCTTTGAGAACCATTCCTTGCCCCGACTCAGGTTTTCAGTTTTCACAAGACAAGTTCAATAACCTATTTTCTGGTTTACAGATGCTCTAGTCTAAAATGTTGCGCAGAAGACCCTGAATGGAAATGGGAAGAAGTTTTAATTATTCATTAGTAGTGGCCCCTAACCGTGTTCATTGAACTTCGCTCTCTATATATATATATATGAAGCTTTCAGTTGCTTCATTTCAAACAAATTCTGAAGTATATCAAACTTCATAAAGCAAATAAAGGGAGAACAAGGAGAAGCAACCATGATGACGCAGTCAATTAGATGAGGTGCACCAGATTTTGCAGTATACTGCCTTCAATCAAATTAACGAGTTTGTTCTTTCCATATTACGCATTTACTACCGAACAATAGAACCCTTCTCGTGGGATAAAACTACTTCACACAATGCACATATTATCCAACTGTGAGACTAATGCACTCAAACATCCGAACCCTGAAGAGATTGTACCTCAGTGAATTTCTGTAATACATTTTTGTGTTGATTGGAGAAAAGCTCTCTTGCATATTCATAGAGTTCTAAGTCAAGGTCATTAAGAAATCGTATCTGCTGAAGAACCTCATCAGAAACCTGAAGGCGTGCCTGGAAAATACAAATGCCATTAGAAAGAGGCACATTACAATTTGCGAGTCAACAAGCCAGAAGCAGGCCATAGAAAATTTCACCTAAGTACAGATAATATATATTTTCATCCAGCCTGAAATACAAGAACTGCCTGCCCATGCCAGAAATGCATATCCTAGGTGACTATTAGATGTCTAAATCCTCTCAGAGTGAACCAAGCAGGAATAGCTACTCATGCGGACAGAATGGTTAACAGTGCACCAAATGATGCCATGCACCTCTGACACTAATAAACTTACCTTTGTTGAAAATTTCACTGGAGATATTCTCTTCAAAGAAAAGGTGCGCCGTTGACTTTGGGCCTTCCGTAAACTAGAAACACAGTCTTCATAAGCTTCCATGAGGTCTCCCACAGTCATCTAAAATCAATCGACAATTCACATAATTGTTACTCAAGACAAGAAACAGATAATATCTGGCACGTCCACCAATAAAACTAAACTATGCAAACAGGCCTACTTTTGATTCTGTTGCTTCGTTTGAAGGAGTCTCACTGGCTCTGCTGTCTAAGGTGTGATTCTGTCTTGAAGTAAGACACGTAGTAAGAAAGTTTTCCTGATTTAAACTTCATTGACTAGGTATCTTTGTGGAAGGAGATGCTTCTTACCTGATGTTCGTAGTTATCAGGTCCAGAATTTGACAGTGAACTATGCCCTGTAATACAAGTACGTGATCAATGCCATGTCACCAAACAGATCTAGCAAAATATATATTAAGGACTAGAAATGTCAACATCCAAACGTCCCCCAATTTTCAATGCAAGAGAAGATACTTGATAAACCCACCCCGATCATCCTAGACCCCGTGATGTGCATAGGCATATCCAAGTGCATGTGGGATTTAGGGTGCTTTAATCATGCTCCAAATACTGTAACATGTCATATGACTGCCTGACAAATCACACTAACCTGTGTTATCAACACCAGTCACGCTAGTATTTGGTTCTCTCAGCTGTGATATCACCTGAGCACCAACAACATTTGCAAAAATTGTGGCAGATTCTTTGTGCTCCTCAGTCAGACCAACGTATAACATATCATCTAACCTCTTCTGCAAGAATTACAAACATATGTCATAAATGCAATAACAGGAACCCAGGAAGTGGTGATTGTTTATATGGTGCCAAAAGCAAAATTCACAACCTACGCAACCTTTTTATTACCTTTGCAACTTGAAGCACATACTTGCCAAGAATCTTATACTTCTGTACACAATGGCGCACTTCATGTGATTCTGCTATATAAGAATTGTTTGTCAAACCTGCAACCTGTCAATTGAACAGTCCACCAAGACAATTGAAATGAAAACTTGGTTACATGAAATGCTAACATCAATGAAGTTTTGGAAATTCCAGAATTCAACTCATTGAAATATATTTGAGGGGTTAAATTCACATGATATAACATATATAACTAAAATCATCAACTCTCCATGCCTGCAATGTTAGCCAAGCATTATGCTAGTTGCCTATTGTATACAGGGTGAGAATTTATCCACTTAAATATTGGAAGAAGGTTTTTACATGCCATCCAACTCAAATTCCTTGGCATATAAGAGTACAAGACACATAACTGAGAGTGGTTAGTCGTGATTAGTTCAACAACAAAGTTGGTAACAATAAAGGAGTTTTGCACCCGCAATGGCGCCTGAGCAGAAGTTAAGATTCCAAGTGATGTATTCCCATAAAATCACTGTTTAAGAAAGCAGTATAACTAACGTTGTAGTTGGAAAATTCATAATCTATAAGAAATCAAGGATGACAACAGTGATAAAGAAACACATACTAGTACCTGGAACGTGGCTCCGTTATGTACAATATCCTCAGCCACAGGATGATTAATGAATTCATGCAATGGCATTGCAAATTCTTCCATGTCATAGGAATCATTGCTCTTAGTGATAGGTAGTCCCCTACTTTGCCTCAGACCCCTCTGTCTCACAAAATGAAGAATACATCACTTAACAAAACCGGAAATTGCATCCAATTAGAAGTTCACACATTAACAGACAACATGGCGTCACGAAGTAGAATTAAATTACTCCATAAATGCATTTATCTCCCCTTTATTTGGGTACCCTAATGACCGATATTTCCATCTTCAAAAGTACATGAGTCCGTCCAAAATCATGCCAAAAAAGGCAAGTCATCAACTTCAAGAGATACCCAATCAGGATGTTCATAATTACTCTTTCCAAATAAAATCCGGGCCACACATTCATAGATTATGATTATCATAAATAGGCAGGATTATCCATTTTATATCATATCCTCAATATATTTGTCTTCCATATAACCATTTTCATTTGGTAAATCCTGCAAAGATAGCAATCAATCATAGTCCAACAGTAATCATACTACTACCTCCGGTCCTAATTATAAGACTTCGTAAACTACAAACAAGGTCTTATAATTAGGACCGTAGGTAGTATAAAATTTCACAAAAAGATCCACTCACAGAACAAAATCCCCTTGCAGAACGGCCATATATTCAATTACAATAGTAAGGCCCTTTTATTTTCATAACCTCAGGAGAAATTGGTAAAGTGGTGTGTCAATGTTTCAGTTCACATTTGCCCCATATACAAAAGATCCAATGTGAAATGGCTCTTGTATTTATCTTAATTCACCAACAGATTTAACACCCAATACGGAGGTTACTATATTAGGTCCCTAATTCATGGGGATCATCAGCAGAGAAACAGAAAAAGGAAAGAGATAGAACCATTCTAATCCCAACTTCCTTTGCCAATGATCAGCGCTTAACAGAAAGAAGAGAAAAAGCCATCAGCTATCAATGATCTCAATAATAATCATTTTCAGAAAAGAAAATGTAGATGTTTAGATGCTAATTCTCTTACTAGTTGCCACATCATTTACTATTTGCCAAATCCGATGCCTTGAATTTATCAACTTAGGAAGCCTGTATATTTATGTGTCTGCATAGATAACCTTCATCAACCCCTAAGTATCAAGTTCATATGTTACAGTAAAACAATGTACTTCTTAATCAGATAAGCTTGCATGTATAAGACGGGAAAGAATATATACCAAGTGGTAACATCCAGAAATACAAGGAAACGAGGAACATACCCTATCAAATAGGTCTTTCCTCATCCATGGGACCAGATACTTCCAGGGCCAGATATCAAGCGTGCTTACTCCTTTAGTCCTAGAGCGCATGAGTCCAGCAATACGAGTTGCAGATGTCAAGTTTGGGTGGACCAAAAATCTAGCCGCAACCTCTACTGCAAATTCATAAGTACTAAAAACACGACTAATAGGATCCCTAAGTACGGTAACCACAGAAGTTCTCTCCCTTGGAAGTTTTGAAGTGATGCTAAAGTCATCATGCGTAACTAAAAGCCTGCAGTTAGGTTTGCTGCAAATTTACGAAAATAATAGCAAGCAATTGATAAGTAACGTTTGACAGATTATTTAATGGATTTCGCACGCAGGACATGGGATCAACATTAGAATAATACTATGGTTGAAAGGCTGTGGCTTTCAACAAGTTGATATGCTGAAGATGATATACATACAATTTAAAATGAAGTGTTAATGTTTTGTTCAGTAAATATTCTATAGAATAGAAGCTGTTATATAATAAAAGCCTATTATATTAGTTACACTTACTGGAAAATAATAGCCTATGAAAGTATTAACCTAAATGATATTTTAAATTTATAATGTCTATTTTATCATGTTATCTTATTGCATGGACTTTTCCAATGGCATTACATAGTTTTAGTGTAAGATAAAAAGTTAGAAGGAACCTTGGATCAAAGCGCAGCTTATCATAAGAACGAGGGCACTCAAGAGAGCCGGGATACAACTTCTTCAAGAAACTGCAGATACAACATACCACCAGAAGCATTGATCAATGAGTTTATCATGATGCAGGTCTTATCTTTTTCCGATACATAACTGGAACTCTATCGAATTACCAGTGAAAATATGTGCGTCCTCCTGTTCTTGGAACGTGGAGGAAAAATAGTAAATCTCTTAGTGTGTGTTTATCCTCTCTGGTTTCTTTGTCAAGTGAAGAGTATGCCCAATTTCTAACAGCTCTTTCGCAACGTCCAAAATCATGTTTTGTGAAAGAGGCATTCACTAGAAGAAAACAATAACATTAAAAAGAAAAGAAAAGAAAAGAAAATCTAGAGACTAAACATGAAAATGTGATACCTAGCGCAACAAGCATCAGCAACACACAAAATTTTAGAGTACGATCCATCCACAAAGCTCCTACTCCTGTTAGAGCCAATCGACGTGAAAGAAAAATACCGAAAGGAACCAACAAATGAATAAATAGATAAATGCAATTAATTACAAGCCAATTGCAGGTTAAGGGAAGAGCTGCTACCTAAAAATCGTTAGACCTCATAATGATTCCCCATAATGAAAATCCCAGTCAAACACATTCCTACTTCAGCTCAAGAAACCTTTCCCCCCTCTACTTCCTGGTAACTCCTTTCCGAACCCAAACCAACGCAACAATAAAACTAAAAAAAGCCCAACCAAACACCAGTGGCTAAAGGAGCACCATATGCATATAACAGCCAGAAATGGTGAGGCAAGAATGCGATGGATTCAATGAAGCAGCCAGAATACTTTCCAGTTTCATGAATATGAAAAGATTGTAATACATTGTACGAGACCAAGATAACATGGCTGAAACAATAAACTAAATAAACCAACGACAAGAACAGAGCACGAAATGAAACACACAGACACGCACCAATTCGAGGAAAAGAAATACACGAATCAAAGCAACTAATGGACCTACCTGTATTAGACTTAGGATCTCGTGCTCATAAATTCCAAAACAATGTTGGGACTTCAGTAGAGAGACCTCACAGTCAGTTTGGACCCACCAACAACACCCCTTGCAGCACAGATACTGAAAGTCTCTGTCCTGAAATTTCTCACCAACCAATGTAAAGTTCGAGAATTTTCCCGGGAAAGAGAATGACCCTAGATTTTATAGGGACTTCTTCCTCGGGAGCTGGTTGCTTTAATAGCGATGTTGGAGACTGAAGTTCCGTCTGGCCTCATGGACGAAAAGAAGCTGGGAAGGATTTCCCAACTCTCAAATCGCGGGACCAAACGGGGAAAAAAGAAAACTTTGTAGACGAAGGGCATAATTTTCTGATTAAATCCTTATTATCAATATTAATGTTGATTAGTAGTATTCTATAAAATCCACAGAAGGTCTCCTTTTGTTTTTCCCATTTTCTTTTTTCATTTTTCCCATTCAAAACAGCATAGCGTACATTGAATTGAACTGTTTTTAATTTTGATCCCATGCCATGCCGTGAACAAATTTTAAAGTATGAAGAGCAAGTGTTAGCCCAAAAAGTATAGAGAGGAAAGATCATAATAATATTTAAAATTTGTGTATATAGCTCTTTATTGTTGTTTATTTTAGAATTACCCTTCAATGGGATTATTTGAATCAATATATTTATGTTTATTTCAGCATCTCGTTCTTATCCCAACCACTTTGAGACGAGACAATCCTATCTCAAAAGTTTTTGAGACAGGATGAAATTGTTTGGAGACAAAACAGGATGTGGGACAGAGGTGTCCTGTCCCGGTCCTGATCCAATGTATTATCTTTATTTTTAGTTGTTATGTATTTATTTTATTTACCACTATAATAGTATTTTGGCAATAATATTTATCAATTATTATTCTTTATTTGTTTATAAATTGTTTTTATATGAGTTACATGATATTCTTTGTAGTGAATATTTTAGGCTTGTTTATATTTCATCTTCAAGATTACAAGAGACACTTTTTCTTTGTTATTGTTTTCTCATTGTTATCTATTTTTCTTATATAATTTCTATTATAAATTTTTACACTTCTTATTTAGTTAGTTTTCAAATAAAAAAATCTTCAAAAAAAAAAAAGAGATGGGACGTTGGGACATTGGGACGGGACGAGATATAAGACGAAAAAGTCATCCTATCCTGATTATCAGGATGGGATTGGGATGAGGTCGTTCTTATCTCATTCTGTCCCTTAAACACCCTCTAATATTTTTGTACAAAATAAGTGTTGCCAAGTCCATAAAAAGAGGGAAAAAGTGTTATAAATAGTTAAATACAATTCGCAGAATCGGCGTGGCGGAGGAGTCATGACTTTTGGTTAGTGATGAGGGCATACTTTTTTCATTTTATTAATTTTTTCCGAATATACTGTTTAAATAAAATATGATTCACTCTAAGATTAAGTTAATTGACATTAACTCAACAATATTTTTACTTCTTTACTAAAAATATAGAAATATAATCAAATATATAACAAAAATAAGGGTTAATTTAAATTTTAATTCTTCAAATTTGTCCTGATTTTGGTTTTATTTCCTTAAGTTTCGAATTATAATTTTTGGTTCCTTAACTTTCTTTTTATATGTAACACCAATTCCTATAATCTAATAAATTTTTTTATTATTTTGCCCATTTAGAGACCAAAACTTCTATAATTTAAAATTTAAAGGATCAAAACTAAAATAAGAATAAATTTAAAGAACCAAAGATTATATTAACGTACAAGAGAATTGCATTTGTGGAGATAATGAAATAGTGGACAAATAATTTAATCTGATATAACCTTTTATTTAACTGAGATGTCAGGAATACTAGTACAAAATCAAAGAGTTTTGATAGGTATATAATACATTTTTATTTTTAATTACTTAAAAATAATAATCAAGCATATCATTAGCCTAACTTAATTGTTTTGTTATAATTTAAAAGAAACTTTAATTCTAAGTTATAAATTCTTGGAAAAATGACAAAAAAAGACCCCCAAATTACTAAAATGACGCAGAGATCACCTGAATAAGTAAAATTACCATGAAGGACCCAGTCTCATATTGTAAATATGAAATCTTGGCGAAATGTCTGAAATACCCCTCAGTCAAATTGTAATTTGGTCTATTGAAGTTGTCATCCGCTAAAGTAAACTTGTTATTTTCTATAGTCAACTTATCATTTGGCATACCTTCAATCAAGTTGTGATTTGATCTACTGAAATTGTTATCCGTTAAAGTGAACTTGTCATTTCTTATAGTCAACTTGTCATTTGACTGAGGGACATTTCAGACATTTCATCAAGATTTCATATTTACAATATGAGATTGGGTCCCTCACGGTAATTTTCCTTATTCAGGTGACCTCTGCGTAATTTCAGTAATTCAGAGATCTTTATTTGTGATTTTCCCTAAATTCTTTTGTTTTAATTTATTATATCCGACACAACTAGAAATACTGGCCCACTAATATATCCTAAAAATCGCTCCGAACGTCATTTAAGTCAACTGTAGTCGGAGAGTCGATATCCCCCCCGGCTCCAATGTACAATAATACAAGGGGAAATTTCACTGTAGGACTGCAGAAGACAATTAATTTCAAAGAGCTCCTAAAACTTTCTGAAATTTCACTGCAGGATCAAGGGGGCAAACTGATATTAATTTCACAAAGAAAATGACCCTACTGCCCCTCATGTGAACAAGTATGGGAGAACCCATTTGCAAGTGAGGTTAGATAATTTACAACATGTATAGATATATTTACAATTAAAATTAGTCCATTTACATATTACCTTCTTCACCTGAAGAATGTGTCTGGGTGAACAAGTGTGGGACAGCCCATTTGCAAGTGGGACTAGACAATTTGCAACATACATATATTTATTTACAATTGGAATTAATCCATTTACATGTCACTTCCTTCACCTGAAAAAGGTTTCTGTGAGTGAACAAGTGTGGGAACGCCCATTTGCAAGTGGAATTAGTCAATTTGCAACATACATACATTTATTTACAATTAGAATTAGTCCATTTACATATCACCTCATTCACCTGAAAAAGGTGCCTGTGAGTGAATAAGTGTGAGAGAGCCCATTTGCAAGTGGGACTAGTCAATTTACAACATACATACCTTTATTTACAACTGAAATTAGTCCATTTACATGTCACCCTGCAATAAGTATTATGAGGGGCAATAGTGTCATTTTCTTTGTGGAATTAATATCAGTTTGCCCCCTTGGTCCTGCAGTGAAGTTTCAGAAAGTTTTGGGAGCTCTTTGAAATTAATTATCTTCTGCAGTCCTACAGTGAAATTTTCCCATAATACAAAGCCTTTTCTTACAAATAATTCATCACAATTGCCTGTTCAAAACAGTCCTAAGATCATAACAACGTAGTAATTGCACGGTAAAAAAAAAAACATAATTGCACCATTCTTTACATTACACTTCAATCATAGTTGCCAGATTTATTAAAAAGGAAGAATACCCAAAAAAAACTGAAAATTGTGATGATTCAGGCACCTACTATTTCAAAATCTCAAGAGAAAAAATACTTTCTGATATGGTATTTTACAAATATAGTTAAATGACTAAAATCTCAGTCTAAATACTTAACATATATTATTTTGTTATTCAACATTTATCATTGCTAATTCATAACTTGTTAATAAATAATTTGTTATTGTCAATATATTTCTTGTCATTTGTTATTCAACACTTTCTATTATCAATTCACAACTTGTTAATAAACTTTTTTAAAATAAAAACAGTTCAGTTATTTAACTACATTTATAAAATATCAACTGAAAAACTACTTCCTTCCCTGAGATTTTAAAGTATTAAATGCCTAAATTAAAATTTCACAATTTCGGGATTTTTCGTCATTTTTCCCTATTAAAATTACAACGAACAAAGATAACAGCCACTAAGAGTTCGAATTAAATGGGTTCAAAAAATTGATTGAGTTCGTTAAGCTTGAGAAACATTGTGGAATGTATAAATTTTTATGGAACAATTGGAATCTAGTGTTTAAAATGTATATTTTAATTTGTTGGGTTTAAGATAAATTATTTTTAAAACAAAAAAAAAACCAAAGAAATCCAAGTATGTTTGAGACTATGAATTTGTCCTAATAATCTCTACTCTCAAAATACTAAGTGCAAGGAGAGTAAGAATATCGATGCTGAGACAAGAATAAAATCATCTATACCGCATTTGAAATATAAACTTCTACCAAACCAGTGTAGCGTATAGATATTACAAATAGCATTCCCCCATCTTACCAAAGCTTTGGCAATACAGCCCGCCGCAAGACTCAATCCGATTGAATGAAATAATGGCTTCTAGTAATTTATCATCAGAGAAAATAATCTATTTTTTCCCCCTTAAAAAATTTTTTAATTTCAATTATGAAATTAATCAATTATATACATATTGCGATCCAAAAAAAAAAAATTCATGGCTTCAAGCTGACGGATTTGGAGGCATCAAGATGGTTAAGACGACAGGTTCCAAGAAGATACTCAGGGAGCTCCTCGCGCGTGTTTCCCTGAGCAAAATATACAGGCCGTTACGGCATGATCATGACATAGCAAAAGAAAGACAATCCAGAAGACAGCAACATTATAATTACAGAAGCACAGATTTGACCAAATTTTTCTACCCCCACGAAATTCGCAAGAGATTAGTCAGACCTCAGAACATCGGTGAATTTACAGTGATGGTGTTACCTGTACTAAAAATGCCATCTCAATAACCAGATTGTTGAGGTAGCCCAGTACAAGACTCACAACGCCTCTCGCAACAGTTGATGACCCAATATCAACTCCAAGCTGAAATTGTTGGCATGAATTTAAAACATAGAATGTGAGATGATTCGAGGTTATATGTCTAGTGCATAACCCCTTGGGCTGTGTAATGTTCTATGCGTACCGCATCAAGACAGGGAAAACATTCGCAAATTCTAGCTCTAAATAATGAATATCTTCATTTAATGATGAACTAATCATTTTGAGTATTTATTAACGCATAATTACCTCCAAGTAGTTCTTTCCCCGGAAATAATTGATTTCCAGAGCTTGACCAATAAGGCATGCCTTCTTCCCCACACTCTGCTTTACTATCCATGAACCCTGAAAGCAGGATCGTCATGACTCATTCCATGGGAAAGACAGATGAAAAAAGAATGTGAAGTTTTCCTCTTAAACAAAGGATGCTGCAATAAAATCTCTTTAAACGATTTCTTATGTCACAGTATAGGACCACTGTGAAAAAGAAATCTAACGAAGAGCAACACCACAAATTGAGTAACTGGATAGAACTAAGCCAAAAATGGAGTCTAGGAAGAAAATAAAGCACATTCCCATTGAACGAATTTTTTTTTTTTTTTTTTTAAACAAAACCTAGGGGCATGATAGAGGCCCCAGAGAATTCCAACATGATTTGAGATTTAAGTTACGCAGATTCATGCAATTGTAAAGCTTGATGCATCATTAACTGTTTTTGTTTACATTGCAATATGATGGAAAGAAGAGAATGTATATCTTCAAGCTTCTATATATACAAGAGCTATTTGACTGCAAACGAGTAGATTGTACCAGTATGACATTTGCTAACCTTGGAGATGTATGGTATAAGTTTAAATCTTGAATTCCTAAAAGCGTCATCACCCTTGACAAAACTCTCTAGCAAAGGAGAATCTTCAATAGGGGCACTCATCATGTAGTATAGTGCAAGGTTATATGTCGTAGAACCTGGAACCTGGTCAAAAGAAACAGCCCAATTAGTGTTATAGCAGCAAAAATATATTAAGAAATATATATATGTATATATAAATCGTAACTAACCTGAATATTTACAATGAAGAAGAATTCAGGTCTACCCTGTGTAGCATATTTCTGCAAGTAAAAGCTTGATCAAGTTGGTCTTCTTTTAATGTAAACCACAAGCTGCTAATGTAGAGCTCAACATTACCAACATCAAGAACCAGAAAATAGAGTTGGTAATATGGGTTGAACCCGCAGGTCCAACCCGCCAACCCGCCAAAAATAGCAGGTTAGGTTTGGCCAAAAGCCAACCCACCAGTAAACGAGCTTTTTTAACCCGTACCACCTGGCCTATAACCCATCACAGGTTAGCCTGCGGGTGCATTTATTATTTTTTATTTTTAAACTTTTTTAATTATTATTATGTTATTATATATTATATTCTATCTAAAAAATTTTAAAAAATACTTATATAATTTATTTGGTGCTTTCAATCAAATACTTTCAAGAAAAAACAAAAATTTTATTATTATTTTTGGATATTGTATAAAAAATAATAATAATAAAAATAAATAAGTGTTAGCGGGTTGGCAGGCTAACCCACCAACCCGCCTTCAAACAAGCCTTTTTAGCCTGACCCGCTACGGGCTCAACTTGCCACAAGTCAACCCGTACCCCACAGGTTGGCCTATATTGCCAGCCCTACCAGAAAAACAAGGTGAAAGTCAACCTGCACAATGCTCCCAGGACGACCACCAAGATCATCTTCCCTTTTGTCAGATCTAAGCCAATCTGCACCAACCATTTGCATCAAGGTTCCCTTTGCTTTAACCTATTCATTAGCACCACCAAGAGGTAAGTACAACACAAAGCTATGGTCCTTCAAAGAGTCATTTCACCTCTAGTTTGAAAGAACGCAGAAGTTTGAGAATAGGAATGATGTCAACAACAGAACCAAGAATGGTCATTATCTTTAATTAAAGCATCTGAACTGTGTAGATATATAAGATAGACAAAATCTGGCACTTGACTGCCCTACGAGAGTCAAGTAACAATATGGATAACAGTAAAACAAAATGCGCAAGGGGACAACTTGGCCACAACAGCAATGCACCGAGTGCTTTTCCGCCTAATATTTTAATTAGCAATGCATCGTTGCCACATGTACCTTCAGACGGTCTTCCAGATAATTTTTTCCACGAATCAAGAAAGTAGAAGGATCTGCTTCCATCCAACTGGAAAGTACAGTACATGTAGGATCTTTTGGAAGTGTGGAACCATAGGAGCAAGGGACACTTTCTTCCCTGATCATCTCTTGCAAGTCCACATAGCCCCTCTTTTGAACTGCAATACATTACCTCTTGGCATTGTTAATCATTGAAGAAAACCATATATAATGGTGATATGCAATCAAAAGTAATACTAGTCACCTGCGAGGTCATGCAATCTTTTCACAAAACTAGCAGCAGTTGATAATTTGGGATGACGACTTTCCTGAGATTCTCAGATTCACAAGAACAAACGGAGACATATCAAGCAAATTGCGAAATTAACATCACTCTGAACAAAATGACATGATCCCAAAGAATATCAAGGAGGAATAGGGTGAGGACGGAGGGGAATCCAACAAAATAAAACTGTTGAGTGAATTGCATGCATTATGAGACACGCAATTAAAATATGATCAGTTGTGCAGCAACAGTTTGAATCTCACCATGCTGAGCATCTTTGCAATAAACACCCAGTGAGTCTCAACAAGATAAAAAGCTAAAATGCAAGACTAAACAAAAATGCGTAAAATCACATATAAGCCATCTAAGAACAGATAAAAAACTGAGATAATAAGATGAAGAGAATTGGGGAGAAACAAACAATTACACAACTGCAGTTAAATTGAAAGACCGGCTATTGTAATTACTTTTCAGAAAACGACCAAATAAGACGTGCTATTGCAAGGAAGTCACCACATTTCTCTCTGCCTAAGACAACGTGGTGAATGAAAAGGCCCTCCTGTATCAGCCCTAGAGATTGAGATTTAAAAATATTTTAAGAAATTCACATGGTTTTAGGCATGGAAATAAGAAAGAAAGAAGCTCGGAACAAATATTAATAAGATGCAACAATGATGCATGTTGGGAGTATCTGAAGAATTCATTTTCTAGTTTTTAATAGTCATACAGATTAGTGGGCAACTCGAAACAAATAGTTGGGTGGCTTAAGTCTTGTTTTCAAAAAAATAAAAAATTAGAACTATCAAATCTCTGACTATTATACAAGTTCATGGTTTAGAATAAAAATAAGAACTAACAATTAGTGTCATTTGACAGTCCATTGATGCCAATGTTTTACTTTCAGTAAAGCCAAGCAATATTTTCTAAATGATCCTGCAGATATTCCAGATCGATAACAATTAATGGCATTTGACAGCCCATTTTATAGCATTGATTAACCATTACCAAATGCATATTGACGGAAATATGATGATAAATATCAGGATTAAATATGAATCACATCAGGGACATGATTTCATCATTTTTTTCAATGTTCAGTAGAACAAAATTATTTCTAAATAGCTTTTTACCTGGAGCTTCTTGTGATTACAATCTGGTGTCCATCCATTTTCTGAATCATCACAATCCGATGGTTCTGGAACGTCAAAAAATTCATCATCTGCGTCATTTAGACTAACAAGGCTTGCATGCTCTGATTGTGTTTGATCCACTTCCCCATCCGTGTCAGCATAAGTTTTCTCACTTTCTGTCTGTGTTTGGATATTGAAGTTGTTGTCCCCTTCCTTCAGAGGGAGCCTGACTCTTCTTGTCAACTCTCCAGATGAACAATCAGAGGAAGAACAATTTCCTTTTCTCGCTCTATATAACTCCCTCAGAGCTGCAAATGCAAGAGGAATAAACAATTAAAACACAATCTTAATCCTCCAAATTTGGATATGGGGTATCCAGTTATATATAATGAACAAAAGTAACGTGTAAGAAAAATTTATAGACAAGAAACAACCAGCAACTCTCCCAAGCATTTGAATAGTTATGGAACGGGCTGCCGAAGTTTTTAGATAAGACTTCCAGAATTTCCAATCAATAGCAAGCATATGCTTTACAACAGATTGCTTTCCTTTGTTCACTGGTGATATAACATAACCTCCACCTGAAATAGAATATGCAGGTTGTCATTCCCAACTGCTTTAATTCAACATAATTCACATAGGACATCTCGAGAAACTCCAAAGACACCAAAGATTTAAAAGGACAAATTCAGACATCCTCAAGTTTACATAATTGGATAAGATGGTGACAATGGTGATTATCATTGAAAACCATTTAAAACTGAGCACAATACAAGAAAATAATATGGCACAGAAATATTAACAAATTTTATTGTTCAAGCATACATTACTTTTAAGGCAGGCACGGACATAGCCTCTCTGAGGGGGACACTTCTTGTGAAACACAGAATGGTATAGGATAACTGTGACAAGGAAAACCAAAAATAAATGAATAAATTACTTGCATTCAAATAGCATATGTTCTCAAACTTTACATATATATTCAATCAAATTTTTCCACAAATAAAAACTACCATAAGTTCCATCATCTTCTCTCCTCCAATAACGTCGCAACAATAGATCTCTCCGTTTCATTCCCCTATGAAGCATGATACAACAAGAATAAAACTTCTACTAAGAAAAGACAAGGTTATGGCCTCAAATCAAGTATGGGCACATATAATGAAAGCTTGGGTGTTACCAAGGCAACCAATCACTATATAGCTGCTTGTGAATAATGTCAGTGTGACCATCCAAGTGCTCAACCACACTCCCCTTGAAGAAACAGAAATCCCATCTGCAGTTAAATATATAATGGTAATAGTGACGACCTTAATAATATGGCTAAGCAAAACAAGCCTGACAACCAACGTTCAAAAGATAGTGTGCACTGCAGTTTTGCGTTCACAGTCACCAATCAACATGAGCATAATACTCAGTACTGACTCTTTCACAACGAAACAAAACTATGTCTAATTGTTTGTATTTATTATTTGGGCTTGCCTGAATTCTCACATGTAATAATATATAATGGTAGTAATGACGACCTCAATAATATGGCTATGCAAAACAAGCCTGACAACCAAGGTTCAAAAGATTGTTTGGACTTCAGTTTTGCCTTCACAGTCGCTGATCAACATGATCATACTACTCAGTACTGACTCTTTCACAACGTAACAAAACTATGTCTAATTGTTTGCATTTATTATTTGCGCTTGATTGAATTCTCACATGTAATCATATATAGCCACACTAGTTTCATAAGCAAGGCCCTTTATTTTGTATTTGGCTATGGGCATAATGATCGACAAGAAAGCACATTCGACCTCCTTTCATTGTCATCTTTGGAATTCCAACAAATATGACCTCCATAAAGTAAAATTGTGCAAAAGTGAGATGTTGAGGATACATGAAATAACTGCTGCTTCACGCTTAAAAATTTGAGTTCAAAAGTGATAACAAGAAAAATACGGACATTACCCTAAGATCGCATGTCTGCATACCAACTCAAAGTTGCTTTCAAATTACAAAGCATCCCATCAATATAACATTATATCTCCTTGTTAAAGACGATGGGAGAATTAAGGGTTGAATGGAAAGGAAGAATAAAAATTTCCACTGCAAGATTATCACATGCGCTTAATGGACTTACTCTGATCTTGAAGGACCAAGTGACATAAGTGTTCGGAAAATGGCTTCAGAAGTCCCATCAACCACACCAACGGCCATTATTGCAGGGTGATCATCCCACTTCTGGAGATAAGACCATATTCAATAACTCGAATTTTTTTATAAAGCAATTAGTGAACAGAAAATTTGCCAACCTTCCCATGTGAATCTCTATCTTTTGCTTCCTTAAATAGTCGCAAACCTGCATAACACCCGTGAATATGTATGCATAATTTTAACTGCCTCAATCCGCAAAAGCTGAATTATAACTTTTACCGTTTTGGCAACCAAAGATTATCCAGGGTGAAGGAGCAACAACATCAGATGTCATGGGATCCAAATTTGTAGAAGAAAAAAGAGTCCAGTCTAAAGAATTGGAGCGGCTTTTCCTGCTAGAACCACCTAATCTGTAAACATAGAAACACCAGTAGTATTAAGGGTTATGCAATAAAAATATCAAGATGACGTCACAAGCGAATAATAATTCAAAGTTGTCATTTCAGACGTCTTGAAATTTTCCATTCAGGACGTGTTTTGCACATTGCATGTAAAATTCAGTTGCTTTACCTAAATGACTGCCATCTCCTCTTAGAGCAAGCTACAGGAATATCACCAAGATCAGGAGCACGCTGCACACATTCATAGCAAAAGTTTCTATTTTTAACAAAGAAGATTCATTTTGGACTTGAAAGCTTGTGAAATCTTGTACCTTTAACGATGCTTCCTGAAAGGATTGAATCCATCTTGCTGCTTCTTCAGGGCGGCTTGCTCCTAACTATAACATGCACATTATAAGATTTAGCTTTAAAATTTCAAATAAAAAATTTTTAGCCTAATAGTGATCTCACCTTTAATTGGTCACTGTGATTTGAGGTGTTGTAAAGAGTAAATATGAAGAATACCTGCAATTGTGCAAAGAATTACTATTAAGCATATGTCAATAGTGCGTATTGATTTGAACAGAAAGTGGAGACAAATATCATCATTAAACCACAAAGAAATAATGCTTATACTTTTCTGTTAATGCTTTCCCTTCCATTGTCTGTGACTCGTATGCAAGAATCTACAACAGCACTTCTAAGAGGATCCTGACAAACAGTTTTAAGAAGAAAAAAAGGTTTCACTTCCTCAAACTTATCAAGTAGAACAAAAACTTAATTATAACACCTCATATAAAAGGTCGATATCAAATTTAGTAGTCTGCACCTTCATTTTCAAACATGGATAATGAAGTATTGGTACTAAAGTCAAATTTTTCAGTTTATATTAAGATAACGATGAGGATTGAGAAATACATGAAAAGTAGCTGGTTGATGTCATGACGAGAAAATATCATGTAATTACTCTCTGGAATCAAACTCCTGTGCAAACAGAGCAAGCATAACTCTCTCACCAAAAAAGCAAAAAATGAGTAAGCCTGACTCAACTTCTGCAAGATTTTTGTTTGCCTTACTCGGCCATTGTCAGACATCGTCTTAGGGGATAGATTGATATGAGGGCTCCCAAAGTAGGCTCAAAACTTCAGAATTTGACATGCGATTATCTTAGTCTTATCATCTAGGGTTATTGTAGACAGATGCATGTACAGGCATGAGTGTACAGCATTGGCACCCAAGGTGTTTTGGGGACATAAGAACCTTATATATAAAACAAGAATAACATGTCCCTCTGATTTTTGTTTTGTCACAGAGACAGGTTTTATGAACCGATTACATCGTTTCCCTCTGAAATGAATGACAGTCTTACCAAAAATGAAAATCTCAAAAGCCAATTCAATATATCTTGCATGCAGTTCTGAATAAACCAAAACAAAATGATCCAATCACTCAGCCATGCGCGCGCGCGCGCGCATGCGTGTTCTCTTCTAGTCAGCCAGTCAACTTATAATAATTAGTGTCCAACAAGAAGCAGCAGCCCCCGGTCGAACAATCTAATGCTAGTGGAAAGAAAAAATTATAACATTTGCTAACAAAGCCGCGAAAACTAAATGATATTATGTTTAGAAAATTGGTTCAGCTTCATTAGCGTTTCAGCAAGAATCGAAACTCCCGGAGTCCGAGCAATGGGCAGGATCAAAGAAGAAAGCAAGGATATATCGAAGAGGAGGATGAACCTCATTGCTTGAACTGGGAACAGATTTGAAACTCTTAAGAAGGTGGCCGTCGAGGACGAAGTAGCGTTTTCGCGAGAACTGCAATCCAAAGCGGTTAGAGCGTATACGATACAACCAACCCTCCATTCTTCCATCATTTTGGGGAGTACTCATTCTTAGAAACCCTCACGCTCAGAAGACCCGCTTCTGATATCTCTTTCCAGAAATTCTCAGTCAAGATTCAAGCAGAACTAGATTGCGATCTTCCTTCCCGGGTTTTTCAGTATTCAGAAGTGAAGACAATCATTAATATAAACTGGGTGATGAAGGAGATATCGATCCTCTGATCCCAGCCAAGGGATTCAGAGAATCGGTCGGGCGTATTGCAGAAGGAGTAGTGGCACCTCTTTGGAATTGCAGGTGAAATGTGAAAATCTCTCCCTCCGAAATTTTGCTGTGGCGCGTGGAAAGCCTTGAGGTTGAGGCGCAGCTCAATTGATTCGCATATGAGACAAAGATCGCCCGTCAAGTAATCACGCGACGAAATGACATTATTATCCTTCCCTTCTTGCATCGTATGTCGCCACTTGCCCCCTTACCATCCCCTTGTTCATTTATTTTATTTATAATAATAATAATCTTTCAATCTAGATTTAGGTTAGAGCCAAAAAACAATTTTAGATTTAGATTTTATTTTATATGCTCTATTTTTATTAACATCAGCATAATAAGCAAAAAGATAACACTTAATACTTTTCCGATCATAAATATAAAATTTATTTTATAATACAAATTACATTATAAAATAAGTTATATATTTAAAACCGGAAGAATACTTGAAAAATTGTTTTGTTTTTGGTTTTTTTTTTCTTGTTTTTGGGTTGATACGGCAAAGGCATCGTGATTGCTGTATTGTTTGTTATTATGTGCGAAGCTTCGTAACGTGAGACACAATTATCCTCTCAAATTTTACAATAAAATTTAATTAATAATTATCCACAGGTCCGCTTTTTTCATGATGGGCACGAATTAAGAATTATTGACCGAAATAAAAAGAATATGCCCTTTTAAAAATTATAATTCAATTGTATTAGATTTATACAGTTATCTTGAGAGAGAAGCTCGTGTCATAAAAGAAAAAGTTATTATTCCACCGAAGGGTATTGGGAGGAAAACGCACGGAACAGAAAGAAAATATTAGTAAAATTAAACATCAAATGATTGGGAATTAGGGGTGCAAGGCAAAGCAGCTTGTTGCCTAATCCACTCAAGTTTAAATATTAATAATAACAGTCAAGTTAGTCTCGATGAATGTATTTTTTTAATCAAAAGAATCATTTTACGCGTTCTAAAAGATAATGGTTTGGGTTAACCAACGACTTGAGAGCAAATATATCTTAACTAATTTAGCCAGTACAATGTATTCTTCGAATAGAAAATAAATATATATTTAATTAATTGAAAGTGTCTTCTCGTACACTGCTAAGAGCCAAGTAACAAGAGTAATATAGAACACTATACAAAGGATTAAGAAAATCGACTTTAAAATATTCTGAATTCGAGATATTACAAACAGGTCTCAAAGATATTTGAAGGTAATTTGATATACGTGTAGAATAACATGTTCATCTGTTAATTAAGGTCGGCTGACCCGTTTTTGACTAGTTTAAAAGTCTATTAAATTATCGTCCTTAATGGTGGTCCGACTTACTCTTGTTAAAGTAATATTAACATTTTATTTAAAAATTAATACTTCTTTGATTCTTAATGTATGACTTAATTATAAAGTGAGTATTGTTCTTAAAATGTAAGACATATTTCTTATATACTACCTCCGGTCCTAATTATAAGACCCAATTGATTTATTTGAGGAGATTAAGGAAATAAGTTAAGTTAGTTATTTGTAATAAATAAGTGTTGTCATTCTTAAAATATCCTTATTAATTAAGTGTATTGGCTAGAACTATCATTATTAAAAGGACTATCTTGGAAAAAAATACATAAATATGAGAGAGAAAATGGATTGAAGTCTTATAATTAGGATCAAACAAAAAGTCAAACGGGGTCTTATATTAAGGACCGGAGATAGTATTTATCAATTTTTTTAAATCACTCATATTTTATCAACCATAATCAAGTAGAAAAGGAATCAAAAAAGAATATTAAAAAATATTATTAGGATATTTAAAAAAATATGCATATTTATTATAATTAACTAACTTACCATCCTTACTATAGAATATAATTAACTAATTTGAGTAAGTTAAAAATGTTAGTTAAATAAGTTAACATGATATTTATTTTTCTAAAACATTATATCATCTTCCTTAATTCCTTTTCCTCCCTCCTTTACTTAATTATTGTTAAAAGAATATAAATAAGGTTAATTTTTAAAAAATTAATAAATATGTGATCACTTCTCAAATTAAGTCTTAATAATTAAGGAATGAAAAGTATCACTTTTTGTGTTTTTGTGCATGCATATCAAATTTTACGTGGGCATACAGGAGTTATCCTCCTATTTTTACAAGTTGTTTTTTCGTTCTTTAATGATTTATAGGTCACTCTGAATTTTGCCAATCATGTTATGCAATTCACAACTAGCTACCAGTATTTTACGAATCAAATTGAGAAATTAACAATTAATTTTGTGTATTTCTTGCACAAATTTTTTTTTTAAAAAAAAATCCTACGTCTAATGTCAAAATGGCAAAAAACAAGATGCGAAATGCTATAGAGTAACTAACAAAACAGGGAATAAAAGTAAGACAGATATGCAAACTTGACAAGTCATTCCATACCTTTGTCAATCTCGGCGGAACTAACACTTATCTGAATTTTTTAAGCATCTAATCAGGAGTTATGTATGAAAAAATTCTTAATCAGTCTTAGAACTTTTTGAAAAAATCCATACTATGAAAAGATTAGTTACTGTTACTTGCAGCAAATACTTATGTCAACCAGCTGTCTGGCGTGCCTCGGGGTCACAAATCAGAATAATGCTTCTTATTTTACAGCTAACATTTAAAGCAAAGCCCGCCCCTTCTCTTCCACGCCTCTCACTTGATCCCTCTGTGCATTCTTCGCTTTCACCGCCGTTTTAAATATATTATTATATATTAGTCATTACGCACAATATTTAAAATATCATAAACATGTTTCTCCAAAACAGACACAAACACACACTAATTAATCACTCATCTCAATTTTAAGAACAACCTTATTAAAGTGCTCTTATTTATCATAATGTTTTTAAAATAACCACCGCTTATTCACTGAAAGATGTATCAGTCGTAGAAAAAAAAATAATGAATGCTTTTTTGAAACCTGAGGCGAAAATTATTTTTGCAATATAAATAAAACTCTAAAATATCAATCGTTATTGCTTGAAGATAATTTCATTTGAAAACGAATGGCATACAAATTTATCTTCTGCATCTGTATTTTTTTTTTTTTACACAAAAGTATGTTGAGTCTAAGAACTCACAATGGCTAGAACATGCTTTTCAAACTCAAATGACATTATAAAGGTATTTATAAATCATTCTAATAAGATCATTATATTAAGAGTAGTATAAAGGTATTTATAAATTATCTTAATAAGGTCATTATATTAAAAGTGATATTCAAACTCACGACCTTATTAATTATAAGTTGACTCTTTATCAATTAGATTAATTTTTTTAAAAAAAAATATTTTCAAAACACCGTACATATATATTTTTCTTTTTAATTCGGTAGATGATTTTGAAATGGCACACCTACCACCAAATGAAGATTGGGTGCGTTCTACGTACGACCACATGATGATTTCTGAAAATTACAAAAACCATGCTTGCATGAAATTGAAGGACCACTTCTTCTTCTCCACACATCCTGATAATTAATACGTGTCGCTCAAGGCAATTAATCATGACCGTCCATATATATCACCACCATGTAAACTTGTTTTTTAATTCCCCCCAGTGGATCAACGGTGACACCAAGATGTCAATTAATGTCGTCTGTGATTACTCTTAAAGTTGGCAAAAAAAAGTAATTACTCTTAAATGGATTAGTTAACTGGTGACCAAAAAATTTTCCTTATTAATTTAACCTGCATAGCCTTCTTCTGGAGGAAAAATATCTAGGGCAGGGCTAAGCTGAGAGTCTATGCACGTGATTTTATTTTAATAATTAATAATTAATGAGTACGTATATTAGGATTTATTAGGTTTGAAGAAAGTCATATAAACACAATAATAATGGGAAGTTGTGGACGGGAACCCATCCCTGAACGACTGTGTTGAACTAGTCCGTGGCCGGCGAGTTCACCATGCAGACTTGTCGTTTTCGATCTTCTCCTTTGGCATGGAAAATCAAATCACTGACTGAATTACATATTTCGATTCTAAATATAAGACTTATTTTATAGTATAAATTACGTAATAAAACGAGTCTTATATTTAGGATCGGAGGAGTACTGTACAACTACTGTCTATGGACAATTATCCAACAGACAATAATATTTACATTAAATTGCTTTAATTCATTATATCAAGTTGTTAAATCATATATATAAATACTAGGGTGAAAGAAACTCTATCATATGGTATAATCTTTTTAACACATTATTCAGAGTTTTCCGCACACACCAGAGTTGAGATGAAATACATATACATCATTCTACAATATATAAACATAGAGCCAAAACTTCTCTACCAAAAAAATACAACTCAATATTCATAATCAAGGATTTAATTTATAAAACAAAACTGAGTTAGGACTTGTTTGTTTCTATTTCTTGTTTTCTTGTTCTAAAAACGATTTTTAAAAATAAAAAAAAATGTTTAGATAATTAATTTAAAAAATCATATTTGGTAAGCGGTGGCCATCATCAGAGATGATATGTGGTGGGCAATAGGCAAGAAGAAAAGAAGATTTTTTTTCAATTTTTAAAAACAAAAACCAGAAAACATCTAAAAATTGGGAAAATTGGGGATAAATGCTTCATGGAGAAATTAATTGGCAAGTGGGACCTAAGGAATTTGTGCAAGTGAACTTCCATTGTGTGCAAGTGATTTTCCGTTTTTATGTAACTGATATTCCTTGTGCGTGTAATTTGTCTTTCGTGATATGCAACTAATCTTCCTTATGTATAACTGATCTTTCTAGATCCCATTTGCCAATTAATTTTTCAATGGAGTATCTATCCCCAATTTTTCCTAAAAATTGTTTTTGGCTTTTTAGCTTTTAAAAACGCATTACTGTTTTTTATTTTTTTTAAACAACCCACTAAAAATAAATTACCAAATAATTTAAATTTTTTTTCCCAAAATAAGAATCCAAACCAGCCCTTAATTTTTCTAAATAAATTTTCACTCAATAAATTTTTGAAATAAACATTAAAAAAATTTCGGGGGGTTTCCAATTAGAATGTGACAGAGCAAGGGTTGGGTGGCTGTAAAAAAAGAGGATATGCCTTTCGCATTTTCA